TGAAAGATAATTTTTCCAGGTACACTAATCTGGGTTGAGGTTGTTTTTCTGTTTTTTTTTGGGGGGGAGGGGTTGAAATACTTTAAGTCTCCTTGACTTGAGGGTTTGTGCTGAGAAGTCTTCTGGTATTGTGATGGGCTCTCTTTAATAGCTCATTTGTTTATTTCTCTGACTGCTTTAATCTATTTTTTATCACATATATATATATATATATATATATATATATATATATTTTTTTTTTTTTTTTTTGTCTTTTTCCTTTTTATTGGTACCGGGGATCGAACTCACGACTGCCTGCTTTACAAGGCAGGCGCTTATGCTGCTGAGCTAAATCCCCAGCCCCTATTTTTTATATTTTTGAGACAGCTGTTCAGGCTGGGCTTGAGTTCACTTTGTGGCTCAGGCTGGGATTACAGGCATGTACCACCATGCTCAACCTTCTAAATGCTTTTATTATTCTGTTCTTGTATTGAATTTCTGTAATCTTGGTTATTATATGACTTTGTGTAGATTTTTAATTTTTGATCATGGTTATTTGGAAATCTATATTCCTCATTTATCTGTATGACAAATAGTTTTTTACTTGGGAAGTTTTCTAGCATTACTTCTGTGAACAGAGTTTTTATATTGTTTGTGCTATCTCTTGCTTTTTTCATTGCTTCCAATCAATATTATGCTAATCTATACCATTTGCATAAACTGGATTAAGTTTTTGTGGTCCCTTGCTGTTTATAAGAAATCTTTTTCTTGTGGCTGCTAATCACAGTCCTCTCTTGTATTGATATTCTGTTCCTCCCATTGGCTCTTCTGTTGTGTGTACTTTTAATAGAATTTTTAATTTCCTGGATGTATTTGAATCTGTTTCATCTTTTCCTTCTTTCCTAAATTGGGTATTCATGGTTCCCATCATTTTCCTAATGTCTTCTATTTTTGTATCTCTATCTGCTCTAGAGTTACTGTGTCTTTGATTATGGTCATTGTCTCTGTACTTACCTGAGAAATCATTTCTGATTTGATTTTCTATAGCCTCATTTATCTGCTTCATTGCTTCTGCAGTTATGACTTCAGAGTCCAGACAGGAGCCTTTCAGACTGTCCCACTTCTTTATTCACCCCTGTGTTTACCTTTGGTGAGCTGGAAATCTGAGGTTTCAACTTGCTTAAGTGTCCTATCATTTTCTTTCTTTTTTTTTTTTTTTTCCATTATGTTTTAGTTTGGTGATGCTTGTAAATTGTTTATGACTGGGGATTTAGCTCAGAGGCATAAACACTTGCCTGGCAAGTGCAAGGTCGAGTTTTATCCTGGTACAAAAAAAATTGTTTTTGGCAGGTAGCTTTACTGATAGTGCTGAGAGCACTCAGAAAATGAGTGCTTTACAGAGATGTTTTTCAAGTGTACCTGGGTTTTGAGTCTGTTGCAAGTTGCTATTTCTTTGATTTATTGGGAATAAGTTGCTGCCTACTTGGCCCAGCTCCTGGTTCTTTGGCACTGGCCCATAGTATTTCTTATGACCTTTAGCCAATCTCAGTCTTGGCATTTCAGGAAGTACAACTGGTTAGAACAATTATTTCACTTTGGCTAAAGTGATATAATCAGCAATAGCATTCACATCAAACATGCCCTAGGAAATGACACACTGGTAACTATTTTTTTAAATTGGTAACTATTAATTTGCAAATTTTAACCATATGAAGTAGCCTTATGATTCTACAACAAAACCACCTAGCATGGACAAGACTCAGTTAAACTGCCAGCACTGTCCAAAATATATAATCTAGGCTGGTCCGAGTGCAGTGGTGTTTACAACTAATTGATCACAACCAGTTGCAGATTTCTTTGTTCCTTCTCCACTCCCACTGTTTCACTTGACAAGTAAAAAAAAAAAAAAAAAAAAAAAAAATATATATATATATATATATATATAATCTAAATCTAAAATGTCAAAAAGGTGGAAAGTTTGTGATATTCAGCTGCGTAAAACACAGTCTTTTTTATACTTAGAGTACATCATCACATATTATTTTTAAAAATCCGTGACAATATAAGTTTAAATGGTGTAAGCAGGGATTAAGAAACAGTGATGAATTTCAAAGGGAGACAAAGAATGGCTCTCTGGAGAGCAGACTTTTGAGAGGACTTGAAGGATTTCGGATGTGAAGGCCTGGTTCCATCCGCAGCACAACAAAAAGAAGAAACTGAGGGAGTTTGCCATGTTGATCTATGAGAACCAGCATTTCCATTCCTATTGATGAGGGGCTGGGAGAGGAAGGATGTGTGACAGGTTAAGATTCAGGAAGGGCAGGACAGTTGTGGTCAGGTCAGAAAGATAAGACAGCTACAGCTAGGGTACACTAGATGAGGTCTTGGAAGTCATTGCTAGGACTGTGGCTTACTCTCTGGATAAAAGGATGTCTTGGTTACTTTTCTCTTGTTGCTGAGACAAAATACCTGATGCTCAGAATTAAGGAAGGAAAGGTTTATTTAGCTCACAGTTTGTGGAGGTTTTGGTCCATGTGCTGCTAGATCTAAGGCAGAATGAGAATCAGCAAAAGCAACAACAGCAAAAAGGGAAGAGCGTGGGATCAAGCCTCTTCCCCTTTCTTACACTGTATGTAGGCTCCCAGCTCAACGTGGGGGTAGCACTCATACCCATAATCCCAGCTTTGGACCATGAATTAATCACAAACTCTTAAAAGGCTACTTCCATGACTGAATGAGGCTTTAGGGGGGTCATCTAGACACAAACCATTACAAAGGAGATTCATGCAAAGCTTTATTTATTTGAGACAGAGTCTCAGTCTATGGCAGGCTGGCCTTGAACTTGTAGTTTCTATACCAGTCCCCCAAGTGCTAGGGTTACCGATGTGTGCCACCATGCCTGGCCTTTAACTAAAAATGGTGTGGGGCTGAGGGCGTAGTTTAGAAACACATATTTACCTGGCAGGCATAAGCCCTGGGTTTGATCCCTAGCATTGCATTAAAAATAAAAGGATATATATATATATATATATTATATGCCATATATGGTATTATGTACTTTTGTTTTTGCAGTACTAGAGACTGAATGTAGGATCTTTTCAGTTACATCCCCAGCCCTCTCTCTTAAATTTTCTATTCTGAGATAGGGTCTTACTAAATTTCCATTTTGGGCTCAGACTTGCCATCCTGTCTCAGCACCCCCTGCACTCCTGAAAGCTAGGATTACAGGTGTGTGCCACTGTGCCTGGTTAAATTGTAATTTCTGAGTGCATAGCTCTGTGATCATCACATGTGGTTATACCCCTGAAACGGCCACCCCAAACAAGATTCAATATTTTTTTTTATCTTTCTTTTTATTGGTACCAGGGATCAAATTCACAACCATGTGCTTACAAGACAGGTGCTTTTGCCACTGAGCTAAATCCTCAGCTCCTTCAAGATTCAATATTAATGGAAGTATAAATCAGGTGGTGGCACAGGCCTGGAATCCCAGCACTATGGGGGGGGGGGCTAAGACAGGAAGCTCTGAAGGTGGAGCCCAGGCTGGGGGACTCAGCAAATTAATCTGAACTTGCTTCAGCATTAAAAAGAGCTGGAGACATAGCTGAGTGTAAAGGTCCCAGGTGCAACCCCCTCTACTACACACAACCAACAATAGTAACAATAAAATTGTGATAGGATTTTTTGGTAGGAGATAAACTGGTGGCATAGAATTATTGATTTATTTTGTCTAGAGGGAAATTTAAGACTATCAAATGAGACAACAGAGAGCCCCAGCATGTTAAACACATCTAGTAATTATCCTGAGACAGCATGTATAACAGAGGCTGATTGCTCCTCTAATGACCAGACTGCATTGCATCATCTTGGTAAATACATTATCAGTAATACTGTGGACTTCCATCTGACCACTCTTGGTGGTGTGAAGTGTCATAAATGGTTAAGGTGCACATAGCCAGACTGTAATTCTTGTCCTGAAAAATGTAAATTTACTTCCTGTGACCCCTCTCCTTGTGAGGAGGTTGCCTGTACCCATGCCACCTGCTTCTATCCGTGTCTTCCCAGGCCTTCTGCATGCAATGCATCTGAATCCCACTACTCCTCCAGCACCTACTTCTGCAAACTTCCCAGGCAGCGGCGTGCAGGGGACCTGCAGGGCCACTTCCAGACTTTAGACCTGGCTCATACCTCTACTTGTTGATAAAGATCTCTGCCCACTCATAGGCAGAGTGGAGTGTTAGCTTGAGCTGCCCCCTCCCCCTTTTCTTGGGTTTTGAGACAAGGTCTCACTACGTACTCCAGGCTGGCCTTGAACTCACTATATAGACAACAGTAGCCTTGTACTCATGGCAATCCTCCTGCTTCGGCTTCCTGACTGCCCCTGTTGACTGGCTCTAAAGAGCAGTCTTCTTGCCATTGAATTCATGAGGGGGACAGGGCAGTGGGAGATGGAGGAAGAGCAAACCCAATCACCAGAGCGCACACTGCGGGGGAACATAATTAAGTACAGTTGGACCCAAGCCTAATCATCTCAAGGAACAGACTTCCTCTCTGGCATGCATAGCTCTGGGAGCAGGGAAGCCTCATCCTGGGTTCGTGGGGTGGCCCTGTGGCCTGACATGAGGGACACACATGGCTGGTATTTATGTCCAGCACACAGCATGGCATTAGAGAATGAAATCTGGGCTGATCTCCATTCTGGCTTTTCCTGCCTTTGAAAGCTGGACTGCACTATTTCTATGTTTCAGGCATTAGTTTGTTTCTCAGAAGGGTTTATGAAAGGATACCAGGTATAAATAGATGACAAAAATAACCCTGTCAACTAAAACAGAAGCAACATAAAACCCTAGGCGTTAGGTGGGCATCATGGGGCAGCCTGTGATGCCAGCACTGAAAGGCTGAGGCAGAGGGGTTGCTGAATGGTTTCAGGCTAGCTTGAGGTGCATTGTGAGTTCAAGACTGTACTGGCCTACATAGCAAGATCCTGTTTCAAACAGCAAAGCAAAACCCAGACACCAGATTCATTACATTATTTTGTAACTACAGAAAGTAAATACAGATCTACCTGCTAACACCAACAATACGATACAGCTCAGGGGAGGTGGGTGGGACTGGGCAGGGTATAGATCAAGTCTTTCAGCAGCTTGCACAATGGGCCAAGACAGCTGCTTCCGCTATGAGCCTCCCATGACAGTGACAGAGTGGGCGATGCCAGGCTGGAAGGCTCAAGCCCTGTGCCCACACCTTTTTGGAGGGTCCAGACAGGCAGCATCTCATCTTGCCTTCTCACATAGAAGCCGTCTCTGATTTGAAGTTGCTTTGTTGAGGTCTTGGGTGGCCCCTTGGGTGCCCTTCTGGAGCCACTCGTAGCTGCACGATTGCCAAGAGGTCCAATAGTTTCCCGGTGAGCTGGCATCTTCCAGGAGGGCAAAAGACAGTGGGAGTCTGTGGTCTCCGTTATAGACTCAGCACTCCTGAAGTGTGAAGGCAAAATGCTAAAGCCTCCCTTAATTCTATCCTTTTAGTCCCAGCGAAGGCTTTTCACTAAGATCTTGTTCCTGTAAGACAAGTGAGATGGTTATATTTAGTAAAAGAAAACCAAGAGGAATTAGTGATCTTCATCCTTTAAAATAACCAAGAGTCGGGTATGGTAGTGCGCACCTGCATTGCCAGCATTCAGGAGGCTAAGGCAGGAGGCGTTTGAGTCTGGGATGCACAATGAGTTAAAGACCAACTGTCTCAAAAAACTCATAATAAAAATATTTCTTTAAAAAAGAAAAAGAAGGGGCTGGGGACTTAGCTCAGCGGCATAAGCGCCTGCCTTGCAAGCAGGCGGTCATGAGTTCAATCTCTGGTACCGATAAAAAATGAAAAAAAAAAAAGAAGAAGAAGCTGGGCATGATGGAATACTCCTGTAATCCCAGCACTTGGGAGGCTGAGGCAGGAGGATTGTTGCAAGTTTGAGACCAGCCTGGACTATAATGTGAGCTCAAGGCCAGTGTGAACTGCAAGGTGAGACCCTGTCTCAGAGAAAAAAGAAAGAAAGAAAAGCAATACCATGATCATCTGAGTATGGTGGCACATCTGTAGTTCCTGCACTCTGAGAAGCTGAGGCAGGAGACTTGAGCCCATCCTGGGAAACTTAGTGAGATCCTGTCTCCAACTTTTTTCAACTTGCTATAATCAATCCTCAAATAAATCATATTGACCATGATATTTTCACCGCATAAAGCTCAAACCTAGAGCTCTGGGTTGAAATGCAACATCAAGAACACCACCAAAAAAAAAAAAAAAAAGCCAGGTACAGTGACACTTACCTGTAATCCTAGCCATTTGAGAGGCTGACGCAGCATGATTCTAACCTAGTCTGAGCAACTTAAAACAAAAAATAAACTGTCTCAAAATAAACAAAGAGGCAGGGCTGGAGACACAGTTCTTTGGCAGGTTCCTTGCCTAGTTTGTGTGAGGCTCTGACCCAGCAGCACTACAAAAAAAAAAAAAGCACCAGCCAAGCAGGGTAGGGCGTGGTTATGATCCCAGCTCTTGGAGACTGAGGCACAAGTGTCATTAGTTTGAGGTCAACCTGGGCTACACGGAGAACCTCTCATTAAAAAAAATAAATAAATCCTGTCGATTGACATCTGCGTTTGTACCTTCAGAAAGTAGCTCGAATTATCCTCTTTCCGCTGCTATTCAAGTTATCTGCTTACTGTTTTAGAACTCTCTTGGTATGTAAGCAAATATGTGAGTGTGTCTTTTTGTTTATTTGTTTGTTTTTGAGACAGGGTCTCATGCAGCTGAGACTGTCCTCAAATTCGTGATCCTCATCAGCCTCCAAGGACTTGGATAATAGCCATGCCTCACCCTGCTCGGCTGGTGCTTTTGATGTTTGCAGTGCAGGGATTCTCCTGCCTTGGCCTACTGAGTGCTGGCATTGCAGGCGTGTGCCTCCAGGTAGGTATATGTCTTGTATCATCTTTAGCTTCGTTTGAATGACTTTAGGCAACTATTCCATGAAAACTCTTTTCAGTGACCACCTTGCGGCTCATCCCCGTTTCTTCCCCCAGGGCTAGGAACCTACTGTGACTCCACTTTAACCCCGTTCCTATTCTCTTCTGTTTTGGCTTTTCTGAGACAGGCTGGACTCACTTGCAGGGTTCCTTCTAGCTCAGCCTCCCTGAGTGCTGAGATGACAGCAGTCATCCATGTGCCAGTTCACCCCCATTAGGCTATAGACTACCAAAAGGAGGGTGACTTGGGCTGGCCACTGTTCCCACGCAGTGCGCATACCCTGAACCTAGTAATTACACAGTGCTTACTGCCCCAGAACTCTGCCTTTCCAGCTGTCACCTTTAAGCCTTGACACATAACTGACAGCATGTGCTGGGAACACACGCTGATTGACATTACCTCCCTCCCCGCCCCTCCCATGGGGAGTTAATTACTTGCGGACACAAGAGGGACACAGCAGGTTATCCTCCAGGTGGGGTGGTGGGAAGGTGCTGGAGGGCAGCAGGAACAGGGCACTCACACGTCCCTTCTTCTCGGGCACCCAGGCCTGTCCTGCGTGGAACTGTAGCTGAACCCAGCCCGGGGTGTTTGCAGGGAGAGTGCGCCCATGAACCACGCACCACTTGTCACCTGGACAAGGACAGAGACTCAGAATGAACTCCCAGGACCCCATGTCTGGACCCAAGACCACCTGTTCTCCCCGTACCTTCCAGACCAGCAACCCTGCCCTGCTCCCCTTAGGGAGACTGGGAAAACAGTTAAAGTTTCAAAGGCCGGTCTGGGGATTTAGCTCAGTGGCATAAATGCCTGCCTGGCAAGTGTGAGGTCATGAGTTCAATCCTCAGTACCATAAAAAAAGAAAAAATCAAAGGCCACAGGGTTGGGGAGGAAGCACGGGGTAGAGTGCTTGCCTACCAGGCATGAAAGCCTGAGTGCCATCCCCAACACAGCAGAATCCAAACTTTAAGCAACAACAACAGTTTAAATTTAGATATCTTCATGCAATTGGTTCAGGGGTCTCAACACGTACAGATGCTGAATCATGCAAAGCAGTTCCTAGCCTTCTTTCACTGTATTTCTTATAATGCTCACATCAAGTGAGTTTTGTATTATTAATCCATTTTAGGATGAGGAAACCACAGATGGTCTTTAAGGAACAGCTTGATATCACTCATTGCCAGGAGATACAGGACTCGATCTCTGATGGCTAATATATATATATATATATATATATTTTTTTTTTTTTTTTTTTTTTGAAACAAGGTCTCACTACGTAGTCTAGGCTGGCCTTGAAATTGAGGTGATCCTCCTGCCTCACCTCCTGAGTGCTGGGATTACATCCATGTGTCACCATGCCCAGCTCTGACAGTTGACTTCAAATCTTGTTTTTATGTTAATTTCCTAGAAGAAGGGAGAGAAATGCAGCCAAACACATTGCTGTCCCTTCTGATGCCACCAACAGTTTCAACAGGAATTCTCAAGGAGTGTTCCCTGGACCAGAACTCTCAGGATACTGGGAAATTATCACAAATGCAAACTCTCAGGCCTTTTCCCAAACCTGAGTGACACAGAAGTTTTATCGATGGTGTCTAGGAATCACCAAGATGATTTGAATGAGAACCATATCATCAAATTTCCCAATAAGGTCAACATTGATCCCAAACATTGAATTTGACTCAGTTCTCAACCAACTCAATTAATGGCCAGAACCATGGAAAGAATCAAGTTCATGAAAGAGGTATCACTATATATTAGGGGTCTCTGAGTGGCTGAGGCAGGAGGATTCCAACTTCAAGCCTGGTCTAGGAAACTTAGCGACTTAGGGAGAACTTGTCTCAGAATAAAAACGAAAAACGAAGAACTGGGGATGTAGCTCAGTGCAAATCCCTAGCTCAGTTCAATCCTTAATACTACAAACAAAATGAAATAAATATTTGTGGTCAGAATCAGCATGGTTATCCCTCAGGGCAATGGACCAGCTACTGTGGGACTCACCGCAAGCCTCTGCTGGCAGGCCCCCTGGCCCCATCCTCCCGGCGATTCGGCCCCAGGAGGCCAGTACAGACTCTGGAGTGGCTGTGGTCACCATACTGGTGCTGACCTCTTCATAGAGAGCAGGCGGCTCTTCCAGGGCAGCCAGCTGCTCCTCAGGGACCTGGGCAAGCTCAAGCAGGTTGGTGCCCACTGAAGACATGCTTCCCTCTGGACCTTGCAGGGACTGCTTCCTACATTTACCTGATGTCTTGATTCTCGCCTCCTTGGGTGTGTTAGGAATATTCTGTAGATGGGGCTAAACATTAACAGAGATGGAAATGTAGCTAGGTGCGTGGGCGTAGCCTTGCCATTCCAGCACTGTGGTAAGCTGAGGCAGGAGGATCCCAAATTCAAACTTAGTCTTCGAGGTGTGGTGGTGCACACCTATAATCCCAACACTCAGAAGGCTGAGGCAGTGGGATCTCGGCAGTTCAAGGCCAGCATGAGCTACATGGTGAGTTCATGGCCAGTCTGAACTATATAGTGAGACCCTATGCCAAACAAACACCAACTCAAAAAGAAAAAAAAAAAAAAAAGAAAAATTAAAACCACCATTCCTTGAGATTGTATCAGAGCTTCTCAGACGCAGAAATAAGAACAACAAATAAATATGTGAAAATATGTTCAACCTCACTTGTCATTGGAGAGATGCAAATTAAAACAATACTGAGATTCCACATCACTACAGAAAGAATGCTTATTATAAGCAATAACAAATGCTGAAGAAGCTGTAGGGGAAGAAGGAACCCTTCTTCACTGTTGGTGGGAGTGTAGACTGGTGCAAACACTAGAGTCCTCAAAAACTAAGACTAGAGGTCTCACTTGACCTAGCTAGTCTCCTTTTTGGTATCTGACCAAAAGAATTAAAAACATTGTGCCATAGCAATATATGTGCACCCATGTTTATAGCAGCACAGTTTGTAATAGCCAGATCTTGGAAATAACCTAAATGCTCATCTACTGAAAAATAGATAAAAAAAGATGCAGTATTTTTATACAATGGAGTACTACTCAGCCATAAAGAAGGACAACTGGAGACTTTTATAGGCTCAGCAGCTCAAGCACTTGCCTGGTAAGCATGAGACTGTGAGTTCAATGCCTGGTACCAAAATAAAAAAAAGTTAAGAAAAAAAATCAGAAATATGATCTGAGGGTTTGAGGATGTTGGTGAAAGGATACAAAGCTTCAAACAGATAAAAGAAATAAATGTAGCCAAGTGTGGTGGTACATGTGTATAATTCCAGAACTCAGGAGGCTGAGGCAGGAATATCTCAAATTCAAATCCAGCTTGGGCAAATAAGCAAGACCTTGTCTCAAAATTTTAAAAAAGGGTACAAGCTTAGTGCCAAGACCATGGGTTTATTCCCCACCACCACAAAAGAAAACAAAGTCTTTTGCATGGTAACCATAGTTAATAACAATGTCTCCTACCACTTAAATTTACAAATAGATTTTAAATGTTCTTACTACAAAAAATGTGAAATAAAACACATTTAATTAGCTCAACTTAAGCCATTCCACAATGCACATATTTCACACCAGTATGTTGTACCTAATGAATATTATTAAAAAGAGTACAGCCCTATAAAACCAGCATACTGGGAGGCTGAGGCAGGAGGATCAAAAATGTGGGCCATGCCTGAGTAACACAGAGCACGACCTTGTCTCAAAATGGAAAGATAAGAACGCAGTTCAGGGCAAGAATCTTGTATTCAATTTCTTGTACTGCAAAACCAAACAAACAAAAAACTCCAACAAACAAAGAGGTTGAGAGATGTAGCATTCTTTCTTAGTACTGGGGCTAAACTGGGCTTGATGGCCCACACTTGTGATGTCCACACTGAGCAGGAGTGTGAATCCTGTCTTGGAACCTCGGTAAGACCCTGCGCCTCATACTAAAAAGCACCAAGGAAGAGGTCAGTGGTGGAGATGGGACAAGCTGGGCAGGAAGAGACAGAGAGAGAGAGAGAGAGAGAGAGAGAGAGAGACAGAGACAGAGGCAGAGAGAGACAGACTAAAACAGTTTCTCTACTCATGTTTTTTCTTTTGAGACACGTCTTGCTGAATAGTATCTTGGTCAGGCTGACCTTGAGCTCATTATGAATCCTAAGCTGGCCTCAATGTTGTGGAAATCCTTTTGTGGCAGCCTGCACACTGCTAGGATCACAAGTGTGCACCACAACACCTGGCTTTCTGTTTTTGGACTGCGGATTAAACCTAGCGCATCATGCATGTTAAGGGTAACTCAGTAGTAGCCAGCCCACCACTCAGCCTTAGCCCTTTTTAAAATCTGTACTGTGACCCCAACTTGAAATTACACTATAGTTATTGTGATAAAAACAAGCAGACAAATAAACAGACAGCATGGTGCTGTAAAAATACAGAACAGAATACAAGCTGCAAACACAGCTACGTACTCAGCCACCTTGGAAGAAAGTCTTTTTAATAAATGATGCTGTAAAACTGGCTTTCTACATGCCAAAGACTAAAACTAGACCCATGCCTATCACAATCACTAAATTAAAATTAAAATGGGTCAAAAATCTACCTATTAAAACAGGAACAATCTGCTGGAAGGTAGAAGATATAGGTGTAGGCAAAGACCTCATGAACAAAACCCTAACTGCACAATAAACACTACAAAGAATCCACTAGGATCCCATTTGATTAAAGAGGCTTTTCCATAGCAAAATAAACCACCCAGAGTAAAGAAACAGCTCACAGAATACGAAAAAAAAAATTATTTTGTCAGCTCTTCCTCAAATGACTACTATTTAGAATATATAAAGCACTCAAATAAAACTAGATCCCTCAATTTAAGGATCTGATCCAAAAATGGGCATCTGAAATGCTCAGCTACTTCTCAGAGGAAAAAATAGAAATGGCTGAGATTCCATCTCACTCCAGAAAGAATGGTTGTTATGAAGAAATTAACCAATGGCAAATTCTGGGAAGGCTGCTGGAAAAAAGGAACCTTTCTTCACTGTTGGAGTTAGTGTGGACCGGTACAACCACTGCAGAAATCAGTGTGGAGATCCCTCAACAAATTAGGAGTAGAGGTTCCATTTAATCCAGCTATTTTTCTTTTTGGCATCTTCCAAAAGTGTTACAAGCATCCCACAGGGGTGTATGTGTACCTATGTTTATATAGGAGCACAATCTGTAATAGCAAAATATTGGAAACAGCCCATCGGTAGATGAATGGATAAAGATGTTAGTTTTTATATACAGTGGAGTACTACACCCTTGGAAAGATATACTCACTGGGGTGTGCCGCCCACACCTGTAATCCCAGCACTAGGGAGGCTGAGCCAGGAGGAACACTGAATTCAAGGCCAGCCTGGGCTACATCCTGAGACTCTCTTGGGAAAGAAAGGAAAGGAAAAAAAATTGGATTCCTGGTACCAAAACAAAAACAAAACATAAACTCAAGTAATTTGTAGGTAAATGATGCACCTTGAGAACGGAACTTGAGTGAAATACATTGGACATATTTTTTTTCTATTATGTGAAAAACTCAAAAGATAAAAATCGGTGATAGTTACTGGGAAGGAGGAAGAAAAGGTTTCCGTGGGAAGTGAAGTAAGGGAGGGGGAGGAGGGAATAGGGATAAAAATTTTAGAGAATAGAAGGATAATAATGGAAACAAAGCTTCATAAAGGGAAGGAAGGATTGAAGGGAAGGGAAGGAGAAAAAGGAAAGTATGTCATATACAGGTACAAATTCCCTGTGGTGAACGTGATCATTAGTAGGCCAAACTTGTATCCAAAAAGTTAATTAAAAAAAACAATCGAAAAAAAAAAAATAAAAACAAAAACAAAAAAAGCAATCGGATGGTGAGGGAAGATGGCTCTTCTGCCCAGGCTGGTCTGCACCTTGCCAGCCAGGCTGCCTCGAACTCTCCAGGAGTGGGGGCCGAGGCGGTGACCTCACACCAGGCTTTTTGGTTGGTTTTCTTGGTGTCTCTCTGTGGCTCATGCTGGCCTCCCCCTTGGCATGCGGAGTGCCGGGGTCACAGGGCACCAGTCTCTGGTGCTGTAGTCACTTTTGGATGTTAAAATAGGTAGGTAGGGCTAGAACTAACTTTCTGCCTGTGGATTTTTCTTTAAAAATAAACAAATAGAAAATTTCTGCTGAGCACGTTGATACCTCTAGTCTCACATGAGCAATTTAGCAAGCGCCTGTCTCAAAAAAAAAGAAAAAAGAAAAAACCATGGCAGGGAGCCTCCATCTCCAGAGCTGCCATCAGTAAACAAGTAAATGAGCCCAATGTTACCTTTTGCTGCGGGTAAGCGTATTCACAGAGCCGCTTGTAGGTCTCAAGTTTCTAAGACAGAGCAGAGAGGCGGTCAGCGGGGGCTGCACCCCCCAGTCCCCCTGTCCCCAAATCCCCCAGCCCCTGGCCTCCCTCGCCCTCCCAACCTGGCCCTTGCTGTTGAGCTTCAGTTGCTGGCACCAGGCTCGCAGGACGTCTCGATGGATCAGGTCCACCGGGGGCAGCTCCTCGGGGAGGGGAGGAATTTCTATCTTTTTACGAGGCGTGGAGCTGTCCCGTTTTTTCTTATCTGGGCAAGGAGAAGGAGAATGGACCAAAACAGGTGCAATCAATGTTTGCCTCGGTTATTAGAATTTGCAAAGAAGTCACTCTCAGTCCTCACAGTCCGCTTCCCACCGGCCAGGCGCACGGTCTACCCAGGGCCCCAGAGCCCAGGCCGGTGATTTCCATCCCTGGCACAAGCAGCCCCGTGGGGCACCCCTCGGACTTGCCAGCCCGCCCGGGCAGTCTAGTATTCCTCAGCCCTACACCTGCTGAGCCGTCTTGCTACCTGGGGCCTCAGAGAGCCACTGTGAGGTCTCCCTGAGCACATGGACGCGCAGACTGTCCACCACACCACTCAGCACTCAAGGCTGACCGAGCACGAAGTAACCAGCAGGCATGGGGAAGGTGTTTCTGAATTATTTGACAGCACACGTTGCAGCCAATCTTCTGCCCAGCCTCCTTCCCATCGAGGTTCCCTAGTTTCACAATTATTTTTAAAATAGGACATGGAGTTTCAAAGGTGGGGCCTCAAGCTTTGTGCTGTTTGTCCCCAAAGCCTCACACAGAGGTGACTGTGGGATCGGAGAGGCAGTCTGGGGCTGAGAAGCCTGACACAGGAGGGGTTTAACCCGGGCTTCGAGGAGGAAGTGTCAGCTTTGCAGAAAGTGGGATGGATATTGCTTTCTTCTAGAAAAATTTCTTGGGCTTTTGAGACCAAGGGGAGTAAGATTAAGACTGAACGACTCATAACTTCTTACCTTTGCCATTTTCCGCACAGTTTTTGCGTTTTTGCCCCTTGGTCAAACTTCTGGAGGTGCCTGCCTGCCTGTCCACTCCTTGTTCTTCCTGTGGCCTCCCGGGGCCAGCTCGCTGTGTGCAGAAGGACTGGTCAGTTACGGCTCTGCTGTGTCTCGGCAGATCCAATTTGCTTAAAGAGAGCTACACATCTAAGGCCTCAAATGATCCCTGCACTTGACTGCTTCAAACTCAGCCTTCCAGTTGCTGGGATCACAGATGCTGTCCAGCACACCTGGCTCGTTTACATTCTCAAATCTTACACTCCTTTCCTAGTCTCATTTTAAGTGATATTTCATCTGGGAGTCCTTTCTAAACCTGTCAGAGTCAAGTCTCCCACACACCATACCCTGAATCTCTTGTCTGCCGAGATTTTTTGTTTCTGAGACAGGGTCTCGCTGTGCAGTTCAGCCATGACCTCACTCTGTAGCCCAGGCTGGTTTCAAACTCGCAACAATCCTCCCAACCTCAGCCTCCCGAGTGCTGGGATTAGGGGCGTGAGCCACCATGCCGGGCTTGCTGAGATTTTATTTGTGCTGGTGGATTTGATCACTGCCCGTGATTCGTTTGATTGTACAAGGGTGATGCTTTTCCCTTCCCTCTTATGGCTGACACACAATAAATTAGTAGAATTAAATGGGCTGGCTGTGGTGGTGCACGCCCGTAAACCAGCCTCAACAGCATAACAAGTCCCTGTCTCAAAAAACAAAAAAACCAAAAAAAAAAAAAAAAAACAAACCCCAAAACAAAACCCCTCAAAACAACCAAACTGTCTCCAAAAACAACAACAAGCCAAACAAACAAAAGAATTAAAAGGAGTAAAGATGCAGCAATATGAGAATAAGTTGTTTACTGAGAAACTGGAATACTCTGAGCCTCTGTCTTATACCATGTCATCAGACACGCTCCTTATTCTAATTCACTAAATACTTGTAGCCAGTGTCACAACTACTACACCGTGGCAGCCCCATTAGAGATAAACTACACCTCGACGCTTGGGCCACCAAATCTGCATCTTTCCAGTCACCCCGAGGTGGAAGTCGCAGGCAAATTAACATTTGTATGGCACTTACTTCTCCGCAAAGGCTTCACATTTATATTCAGGACTGACATTTGCATAACATAACTCTTTCACAAAAGTATTGACTTTTAGGCCTCACAAAAGTCAGAAAACAAGAGAAAGCAAAAAACGAGGACCATGCTTTCCCTAGGAGGAGACTCTGGGACCTGCGTTAGTTGTCAGCAGACCTGGCCTGTGGTCATCCTCAGGGCTCGGGAAGGAGACCAGTTCGGTGCCGGACTTGAGTCCATTTGTGGAAATGAGGGGTTCTGTACTTCCCCAGCCTTAGCTCCACCACCGCACCTCCCCTCTCTCGGACCACTCCGCTGCACCCAGAGATGAATCCGACCAGAAAGCTTGTCCCCATCGCGCAGGAAGCCTTTTCCTTCTTTTAAAGTTATTATTATTATTATTGATACCGGATCTTAGGCAGTTTAAATTGGCCTCGTGCTCACTACGTAGCCCAGGCTGGTCTTGAACCCTGGGAGTGCTGGGACTACAGGCGTACACCACCACACCCGGCAGCCTCTGCATTCCTGTCTCCCCACCCTGACACCAACCGCAGCCAAGCCTGACTCTTTTTTTTTTTTTTTAAACAAGAGGCAATTCTAAAGCACCTTTCTTTACCCCAAAAAGAAAGATCAAGCGTGCTGAGGAGAAACACAGGACCCACTAAGCCAGAAAAAACTTACCTCCTTGCCTCTGGCGTTCTCCATACTCCGTCAAGAAAATGCAACAGACAAACAGAAAATTCTTACTCCCGAAAGGCCGGTGCAAGAGTGCTCTAGGAACAATCTCCTCCCACTTCCTGCCACCCAAGGCCCGCCTCCTGCCCCTCCCCGCTCAGTGAGTTCGAGACCAGCCTGAGGACGCTGAGAAGGCGGTTGTGTGGTGGGATCCTGAGTATCTTTCCGTAACCTTCCACTCAAGGCGTGTTTTAGGAAAGAGCGAAGCTGAAAACTCCTTTACAATACGGTGTCTCAGAGGATAAGGAAGAGTTGCTAAAGACTATGCCAAAAGCAGGTGTGAGGCAAGTTAATGATGCAACTCATTAGAAAGAGCAGGACTCGAGCAGCATGCAAAAAAAACTGAGTGAAGCCGGGCAGTGTGGAGGTGCACCCCTGTGATTCCTGCATTCCGCGAGGCTGGGGCTGGGACATTCCCAAATTCTTCCTCTTCCTCTCCTTCTTTTTGTCGAAATAAGGTCTTGCTCTGCAGTTGAAGCTGGCCTTGAACTCGAAGCAATCCTCCTGCTTCAGCCTCTCAAATGCTGGGATTACAGGTGTGTATCACCATGCCTGGCTCAAATTCTAACTCTCAAAAAATTTAAAAAATGATCTGCTTTGCAGATGACAAACGTTTGCATAAAATTTCATTGGTACTTGGCTTAATAGCAGAGTAGGCCTACACTTACCCTGTTCACTATTTCAAAGTTCTCAGTTGGGCTTGTGCACAACTGATATCCCAGCAAGCTACTTAGGAGGCTGAGGCAGAAGGATGGATAGCTTGAGACTGATTCAGGGATCTCAGAAAAATAAAATAAAAGGTCTGAGGATGTAGTTCAGTGGTAGAGAGTGTGAGGATTTGGGCTCGATTTCCAGCACCAAAAAGAAAAAGAAAAAGCAGTTCTCTCCTTTAATACACAGACATTCTGGCTGGGATACAGCTCGGGGGCAAGTGCCTGCCTGGAAAGCACAAGTTCTGAGTTCTTTGATTCTTGGCATATATACATGTATACAGATGTTCTTCATTAACAATCGGGTGACATTTGTGTGACTTAGTGGTTAAATGAATCACTCACTAAACACCTAGCCTCTTTGGGTTTCTTAAGACAAGGTCTTGCTATGTAGTTCAGACTAGCTTTGAACCTACTATGTAGACCAGACTGGTCTCAAGCTCATGGTAATCCTCTTGTTTCAGCCTTCCAAATTCTGGGATTATAGGTGTGCACCACTGTACCCAGTAACCCCCGCCTCTTTTGTTGGTTTTCATTTTGGTTTTTCCTACATCTCATCATTTGCCCTAAAATGATGAATAAGAGATGACCCTGTGCCTGTAGAGAGATGTAGCACGTATATACAAAGTGTGTTGTTCGCCATAAAGACAAATGAAATTACGTCTCTTGCAGGAAAATGAATAGAGCTCATAAGAACTGACATAAGGCAGGCAGAGAGCCAGGCAGTGCATGGTTTCTCTGGTATGTGGAACCTAAAAAGGGAGATGTTTTGAAAGTAAAAGATAGACAAGAGAAAGGGAGGAAAGGAGATGCAGGATGTGAGTGGAGCCTACAAAATGTTACTAATTACATTATTAAGAAATGAGCTGGATCAATAGAGCCACATGCCTATAATCCCAGTACTCTAGAGGTTGAAGCAAGAGGATTGCTGGAAATTCAAGGCCAACCTGGGCTACATAGTAAGTGCAAGACCAGCCTGGACTACACAGATAGCATCACAGTTTGTAATAGCTAAATCTTGGAAACAGTCCAAATGTACATCAACAGATGAATGCATAAAGAAGATGTGGATTATTTTTAGTAGAGTGAGTACTACTCAACCATAAACAAGGATAAATGAGATATTTCTAACGAAATTGACACACTTTGAGACCATACCCTTAAGTGAAGTAAGTCGGACACACATGTAAATATCATACTTTTCTGAAGTGTGAGAAATGGAAAGTGTAAATAAGGACCAAAATGTATAATAGATATTGAGAAATGGAAAGAAAATATTCAAATGGGAAGGGGAAAAAGAGAGTGGGGATGGGAGAAGAAAGAAGGGACCAAAAAAAAAAAAAAAGAGAGAATAGAAGGAAAATATGAAAGCAAAGCTTTTATAATAGAAGAGAAAAGGAGTTGAAAGGAAGGGAATAGCAAAAAAAAAAAAAAAATATTATGTACAGGTAAAAATTCCCCATGATGAATGTTATATATATATCTAAAACATACCAATAAAATTTTATTTTTTCCAATTAAAAATTAAAAAGTGCAAACAGACACAAAACCTCTTACTTTTAAATTTCATGGGATGGTTGCTATGTAAAAAGGCCTCATGTAACCATGTTTCCTCTTCCACATGTTAGAGCTGAGTGGCCCTCAGGGCAGTTGTGTCTGCTATGGATGGGCACAGCCTTGGGCAGCAGGCATGTGAGAACGGTGGCCGGCAAGGGACAAAAATGGAGGACAAGCAGACCATCAATAAGGAAGCTATTACAGAGACAAAGTGAGAAGAAATGGGGTTCCGAGTACAGGTACTAACTGGGAGGATGGAAGTAAACAGCCAGTGGTGGGAGACAAGATTCAACAGGCTGCCTCACTGCAAAAAACAAAAAAAAAGGTTCAGCAGGATTTGAAAGGTAATGAGGAAGAAGGCAGGAGATCATGACAGTGGGAGCTCAAGGGAGGGTCTTGGTCATGCCCACCGTCCTGATTTGCCAAGCCCCTGGCCTCACTCAGAGCTGCCTCAGCTTGTGGAAAGTGACAATGGGCTTTCTAACTGATCCACTTAAGTCCATTTTGCAACTTATCAGCCCCTTAAGTGCTATCTGTTTGGAAGATTTACAGAGTTTCTAGGTGCTAACGCTGTCCCTAGGGAGCATGATGACTTTGGCACTTAGCACGTGCCAAGGGTCAGAAAGTGACAGAAGCTGAAGAATGTTTTTTGTTTTTTGTTTTGGTACTGGGGATGGAACTCACAACCTTGTGCTTGTGCTCGCCAGGCAGGCGTTTGTGCCACTGCACTAAATTCCTGGCTTAGGGATCAGAAAGTGAAAACACCACAGGCAATCAGTGATTCTTCAGAACAGGGTATGGGAGGGACGGGCATGCCATGGGTTGAGGAGAAAGGGCAGTAGCTGGGATAGAGGCCTTGCCTTGCCACTGGCCGAGGGCAGCCCCAGGCTGGGCTCTGCTGAAAGCACAGGGAGCCTATGGGGTGAGGTCATTAGGTAGGATTTTCAAGGTGTGTTATCAGTCCTGTGCATCCTCACCCAGGCAGGTCTGTTGGACCTGAAACTCACAGCTTTTCCTTAGCCTCCCTCTCTAAGGAAGAGCATGAAACTGGGAGTGAACAATTGGCAGTACTCTCACAGAATTTTATTATTAAAAATAAAAGAATGAACAAAAAAATGAATATAAGAAAATAATAAAGATCAGAAAACACAATCCTTTATAAGCTATCAACATCTTTTTTTCATATAGATTAACATTTTGATGCTTTTTTTTTTCCTTTTTATCAGTACCGGGGATCGAACTCACGACTGCCTGCTTGCAAGGCAGGCGCTTATGCCGCTGAGCTAAACCCCCAGCCCCAACATTTTGATTCTTACACTTGTGCAAAAATAAAAAAAGACTCAGAACAGTCTAAAGGAGCAAAATTAGAGCTTAAACCCTTCTCCATCCCACGACTCATCACAAAGTTACACCAACCATGACAAAACCATGACAAGATAGACAAAGCATCAAGGTACCAATATAACGTTCCAAAATAGATACCCACATAACAGACATTTGATTTCTGGCAAAGAATGCAAAAGTAATGAAGTGGAGAAAGGATTGTACCTTCAATAAACATCCTGGAGCAACTGGATATACACATGCAAAAACCCCAAACCTTATGGCACATAAAAGTTTTCTTAAAACATCCAAAGTCAACTCAAAATGGCTTGCAGAGGGTTAGTTAAAGTGAAGGCAAGTCTGGCCTGAGTTGTTTGGTTAAAGTCATTCTCTCTGGGGCAAAATACATGGCTTTTCCTTATCATACTAATGAAACAATGCGATGATTATACATGTGTGACATATTTATTTCACTAACAAGTATGTTTTCAAGGCACATCCATTTACCTATAAAAATGTCCAGTTTATTATCCATTTTTCCCCATGTACTGGGGATTGAACTTACAACCTTATGCTTTCTAGGCAGGCACTTATGCCACTGAGCTAAATCCCCAGCCCCAGTTTATCATTCTTTATGGCTGAATAGTATTCCATTATGTAGAAATATCACGTCTTTTTGTCCGTTCCTCATTTGATGGGTATTTAGGTTGTTTCCAAGATCTGGCTATTATAAACTGTGCTGCTATAAACATGGATACACATATATCACCGTGGTGTGATGTTTTACATTCTTTTGGAAAGATACTCAGAAGGGGAATAGCTAGTCAAATGTGACCTCCAATCCTACTTTTTTGAGGAATCTCCATACTGATTTCTTTTTTTTTCTTTTTGTCTTTTTGAGACAGGGTCTCGCTATGCAGTTCAGGCTGGCCTTGAGCTTACTTTGTAGCCCAGGCTGGTCTCAAACTCGCAATGATCCTCCTGCCTCAGCCTCCTGAGTGCTGGGATTACAGGCGTGAGCCACCACACCCGGCTCTCCACACTGATTTCTACAGTGGTTATACCAGTCTGCATTCCCAACAATGGAGAAGGATTCCTTTTTTTCCACAGTTCTGGCAGCATTTGTTACTGTAGCCACTTTTTCTGGAGTGAGGTGAAATCTCAGTGTTGTTTTAATTTGCCAGTGCTGTTGAATACTTTTTCAGGTGTTTATTTACTGTTTGTTCTTCATCTTCTGATGAAGTATGTGTTCATCTCAGATGCCCACTTTTGGAATGGGTCTTTAACTCTGGTAGGACTGATTTTTTTTTTTTGAGTTCTTTATACATTCTCGATAATAATCCTTTATCTGAGGAACAGCTGGCAAACATTTTCTTCCAC